AGGTCACAAGGGTCAAATTTGTTAAAAAAAATTAACAACTAATAACAATAAAGGGCTTTCATAACATGCCGAGATGAATGGTTATTAACTATAACTATGGGGCCAGTAGAATTTCGTGATAAACAAAATTTGTTGAAATTAATGATCTTCTATTATAATTAAGGTCACAGGGGTCAAGTGTCAAAAAATTAATTTAACAAATTAATCTGAATAATCTTAAAGCCAAGGATCAATTACCTTGATTCATATCCAAGGTCATAGGGGTAATATATGTCGAAAACTGTAAAGTACTTTTTCCTGAATAACCAGAATGCCTAGTTCGGTGATGATATATGACGAGTTACATGTTTAAGTTCACATTCGCCAGGTGTGCTTAAAATATTTTAACGGCTTCTTCTGATTATAACTGAGTTGCCTCAAGTAATGATATTTGACCAATTTCAAAGACTGAGAAAGATCTGTTAATGCATTTAAATTAACCAAAATGTCTATAGGGATAATATTTGGTCAGTTACTTGCTCAGATACAGACCTTCATTCATGTCCAAAGTCTCAGGGTTATTGAAAACATTTAAGTTCTTCCAAAACGTATAGGATGGTGACATTTTGTCAGTTCAATGTTAAGATGAAAATGTAAGTTTGTTTATGTGAATGACCTTGATCAACGTGTTAGGTCAAATTGTCAAATGTGTATGAATCATTGAATGGCCTTTTCTAAATATACAAAAGTGTAAGGTTGATTATTTTTGACAAAAAAATATGCTGGAATAAAGAGTTATAAAGTTTGATAAACTTATTGACGTTGTTAGACTTTCAATATCGCAGGGGTCAACTGTGTTTAGACTTTTGAACAGGTTCTTTTAAATAAACTAGTGTCATAGTTACAGGTATCTTGCCTGTGAAATGAATACCAGGTGAACGATGGAGACCAATGTTGCTTTTTGATGGTTATATTTGTATTTTCAATTGTACCACTATCAAAATCACCCAAGACTTATCATTTCTTCTAGGAAAGAAAAGCAAGGTGGGGTTGGGGGAGAGGGGTATGGAGGGCAATGCGTTGGTGTATTTTGTCGCAGCAATGTTTGCCGAGTGCCTGTCTGTCAGTGTTATCATGGGTTTTGTCCATCTAGAGTGTAACGCATGCGGGATCGTTTTCCGGGCTGCCGCCTGTATGGGTTTACCAGCTAATTGGAAGCATTTCCTGTGCAATTTCGCTATGCGGGGGCTGTGAGCGTCAGATCAATCACACGGATAGTTTGCTGAGTTTTGCCTGTGATGTCTGGAATTGCTGATACCAAAATGTGTCCCTCTAAGCAGATATCCGTGGTTCACGTCTTGTCTGTCAATACAAGTATTTAAGGCCACCATTGGAAAGGTTGTGCCTCATGCATGTTTCTAGAACCAATACATATTTCCCAACTACATGTATATATTTCTCTTTATGCCCAGTTCCTAACAATGATTTGATTTCAATCACTTCTTCGATAGTTTCATGTCGTTGCTACCTCTCAGTCCAGTAAATATGAGATTGTTTTTCATGGAGCGTCTCGATATTTGAGATCTTCAATTTTTCCTCTCACATCGTTAGTCGTTTCTGAAAATGAACTAGTTTACTATGTTTTTTTCCTAAAAATATCACTATTTTTTGTTACAGTTGTTTTACTGCGTGTTTAATTCTGGTTCTGTTATTTTTTTATAATATAGTCCCATATGATTCATTTAAAGGTATGCTACTCTCGAATTCGGCAGTTTTCGACTACATTTCGTGTAAGTCTAGGTTCGCTTGATGATTTTATAGCTATTAGGTAAAAACGGCCTCGATTTACCCAAGTGAAATCGGCCCAAGGTAAAATCGGCCCTATGTATATATGGAATATACATAAATGCTATAATAATCCCTTTCTTTGGGTTTCATTTATATATCAACCTCTGAACATATATATTTAAATTAATAAATTCCTTTCTGCATTTCCTTGTCTCAGTAGCGAGTTCCACAAGGGGAGGTATCCTGTACTAATGTAATCTGTTATATACGTCGCGTAAGATAGTTATCATTTTGTGTGTAATCTGGCCCACTGACATTATTTAATTACATTTAATTATTCGAATGTTTTTTTTTATATGATTAATGAGAAAGTTAGCCGATGCATAGTTTTTTCTTTCTTTAAAAACTATGTACATCGTTACCAGCTCTTGCCACGTGGAGGCCTCCTCTATGTTTAGTTGATGTCTCACAATATATTTATATATCTAAAGTTCAAAATGATCAATAATGTTTGTCCTATTCACTGCCCTACACTATTTGTCCTATTCACTGCCCTACACTATTAGTCCTATTCACCGCACTATTTCACTATTCAACACTATTAGTCCTTTTCACTGTGCATGTCCTACACTATTTGTCCTATTCACCGCACTATTTCACTATTCAACACTATTGGCCCTTTTCACTGTCCTACACTAGTTGTCCTTTTCACTGTCCTACACTATTTGCCCTATTCACCGCACTATTTCACTATTCAACACTATTTGTCCGAAATGATCACTCTCTGGGTGCATAGTTACGTTTCGGCCTACATGTACACGGACATACACAATTTGACTTTATCAAACATTATATGACCGCCGACGACATGTGGAGCGGAAATATAATATTTAATAAAATCAAATATCGACATACGTGTACATGCTTATGAGAAACATGATTTCATTAGATACGCTAGTGTTAAATGAAACCATATTTCGGCCATAAATGAAATATACATATTTAAAGAAACTTGATTTCATTATATACTATTTGTACTTATAAACGGCGGGCTAAAAGTATCTAATGAAATCAAGTTACTTTAATAACGATTAAGAATTTATTCCTTTGATGGCCGAAATAATTTTCGTGTTTTTTATTAAACGAAACCATATTTTCGGCCATAAATGGAAACTATATTTGAATTGAATACCAGTACCACATGTCCTGTGTTGCCATCTGCTACATGTGTCGCACTGCAACGCATGCTGCATCGGCCTCACAACACGGTCACAATGTAGACAGTTGTCGCTCAGTCATGTTGATTAGACCATGTGCAAAGTGTTGTTCAATTGATGTAAGTCGATTGAAAGTGATTGTCCAAGAAAATCAGTCATATGTATACGTATTACCATTTGCGTGAGTGATCAATATATTTGATTGGCTACCTGGAGTTGAGGCGGTGATGAGGTACTCCAGAGTTAATTATGAGCTACTCACCAGTCTGGTAGGCGAACATCATTGTTTGTCACAGTGTAAGGCAATACAAACAAAACAACTACACCAGTACGTAATTAAATACATCCTTTAATATATTTATTTAAATATAATTATACTTATAAATGTATAAATCCCATGTATTTAAGATACATAGTTGGGCCGATTTCACTTGGGTAAAATAGGCCTGGCCGATATTACCTTTTGGCCGATATAACCAAATACCTTTAGGATTTCACATGATAATTTCTAGGATAGCTATTGGATAACTACCCTTGTTCTATTTGGTATAGTAAGCATCCGCCCTTGACAACAGGAGCTATACCTGGAGACGGGCACCGTCTATACCTTTTTTTAGACCGCTGATCACGTGTACGAGGCTGCGGAAAAAGTAGCGTGACGCCAAGAGTTGCGCCCCTTCTCCTAGAGAGCGCTGTATGTATTCTACTTTCACTTCATTGTTTTCGTCTGCCAGAATGGCTTCGAATTTCGGGACCAAACATGCTGATTGCTTCGTAGGGCCCAGCTATGCATAAAGATGAATCAGACGAAACCATTTGACGTCGCAGTCCTTAAAGACTTCCTACTGGAAAGGGGGACCGTATGTGACCTAGCGGTGATTCAATCCAGTAAATTGAATACGGAACAAAAAAGGAGGGATCTACTCAAAAATTATCTTATTGCCATTTGTTGTTAATTATTAAATATGTTACTTTTTATTTTCAAATGACAGTCATGTGATGTACTAAATATATTATGACCCTTTCCCTCGGGAACAGTGATCTTATAGTGTTGTCTGGAGAGGTATAGTGGAATAGTGCACCCAGACAACACTAACTGTTATACTATAAGAGAACAGTTCCCTCGGGAAAGGGCCATAAAAGAATAATAGCTCAATCGGCAGAATGTACTGGACCTGAATATTACTAAATATAAATAATTTATTTATCTGATATATAAGGAATGGAAACCTACCGANGGGGGGGCACTTGCAACAGGTTTTGAGACTTTCGACAGAAAGCAAAACTGCGTGTCTTCATACCTTGTATAAAAATAATCTGTTTTTGACAATCGGTCACATAAGTTTGGGTTAAATGAATATCGTTACCAATGACTGCTAATGAAGAAAACATCCGAAAATCTTTGCGAAACATCAATAAAACTGATATTGTTGTCTCAAAATAACAATATTACATGTTATGCAACAACAATTGTATCATACAAATATGTAATTGTAACAGGAAAGAGAATAGTGTGCTTCCACCGGGGATCGAACCCTGGATCTCAAGGTTCCTAGTCAGACGCTCTACCACTGAGCTAAAGGGAAATTCCCCCTAGCTCGAAGCTAGAAGGCGACCTTAATCCTATGTACAATTGAACCCTGCCACACTACTCCCCCCTTTTTAAATGTGTTCGCCCTCGAACACCACAACCCAGGTTCTAACTCCCTGTCACAACAGGGAGGGCCACGGACACCATTTGTAACAGGAAAGAGAATAGTGTGCTTCCACCGGGGATCGAACCCTGGATCTCAAGGTTCCTAGTCAGACGCTCTACCACTGAGCTAAAGGGAAATTCCCCCTAGCTCGAAGCTAGAAGGCGACCTTAATCCTATGTACAATTGAACCCTGCCACATAATTTTGAACTTAAATGTTCAAAAATGATAAAACTGAAATACATGTAGTTCTTCAGAAGCGGAGTATAAACGATAGCACAGGTGTTGTTGGGCACATCTGATAAGCTAGCCAAGGACAGTCCCTTTGCAAGTAAGTATGATTTACACATAAATATTACTATTACGTTCGAGATTAAATTAAGCAATACATGCTGCATTTATTATCACTGAGCTAGTCGATCGCAGATCGTCAGTTTCTTATCGCTCCTATAACACTTTTTATGATGTGTTTGCCCCGTGTTGAACGTGTCAGATCTGCATTTTCTCACATGATTTTTAATGTTTGATACATTTCTTTCCATGTATGTTTGTATCATTATTTGATATATTGCCATTTTAATTTATTCCCGAATAATAGCATGTGTTATGTATTGTTTACCCCCTGTCATTAACCCGAGTATAAAAGAGCATGCGTGAAAGAGAAAAAGTCGAGTTTTAAAGTTTAATTTAGCAACTGGAAGGCATTTTGAAGAAATGTAAATGTGTATGTATATAATTTTGTTTTCAGTTTGTACCCCAAGTGATCTCCTGTGGTAACAGAAATTCATGTGTTAGGAATGACACTGTTAGGAAACCTATGAGAACTTGCAACAATGAAATGACAAATACTACGGTGTCTAAGGCAACAGGATCAGGTAAACATAAGTTGATTGGTCGAGCGGTAAATAAATATTCATTCGCAAACTGTTGTATAGACAATTAATTCATTTTGTCATTTAATCTGTTATATTGATTCTACAACCAAAATATGCCTTTACATAGGATGCTCTCATTCAGACAAATTGAAACAAGCAAATCACACACTGTTCTTTAGTAAATAAAGTATCAAGTAAAGTATGTACGTGCGTAATTTTTATGAAATTGAGTAACTGACTGAATCATAATATTAAATTTCACATTTAAATTTTAAATTTTGTAGTTGGTGCAAAATTTTCTTCTGAATTGTATGTTTCAAAAACATATATTACTCAACAATTTGGCATGTTTTTGAAACTGTTTATAATTATATGCTACAAAGCAGTGGATAAATTGATGCAATGTATCATTTTAAAAACTATTTTCAGGTGAAAAAAGTGAACATCCAGCTCAAAGTGTTCCCACATCAAGAAGGCGTCAATTGCAAGTTAAAGATGCAACAATGACAGAACAGGTACACAGTTATAATTTGTTTAATGTTTACTCGACTCACTCAGTTCTCATGACACAGAAATAAACATGATAAACACATCGACATGTGCCATACCCAGAGGTTAGCCCCCGTCTGTACCTGTGCTTTCTGTTCTGGTTCAACCAGTTGAAACAGTTGATGCTGATCAAAGCAAAACCCTGTGGTCAGCTTTGAATTTTAACAATCAATTCTTGCAAAAGTTTGCATCTGGCCAGCCACTGTTTATTTCAAAGTACATTGTAATTGAAGTCTCTATACATGTATTACAACATATGCCGAGTCAACGACTGAAATATTCCAGCCCTAAAATAGCTGATATAAGGAATCAATAGTGTAAAGCCTGTTTTTCAGTACATTGGTGTGACAATATTGTGAATGTCTCTTATAATTACTGGACCATGTATCAAGGAAGTTGTTTTTGTTGAGGAAATTGTCGCAACAGTAATTGCTTACTAGTAACATCAGTAAAAATGCTTGTACTCTTTCAAACTTACTTCTCAGATTGATGGTCCAAAAACTTTTACCATGGATTTTATATTTTAAAGGTTGTACATTCATGTTTCTATGACAGATGAAGGGATTCTAAAAACAATGTTATTAATTTTCCATTAAAAACACATGTTTGAATTGAGTTGTGTCATTTCACTTTCTATTTTTCACTAGGTGACTTGAATAAAGACAACTGATTAGAAGGCTATAGCTATGTCCTGGAATACGTATGGTGTAATGGTATCGTCCGTATCGAGCCCTCCTATACTGTACTAGTGTGTGTAATCGAACGCACCTTTACTTTGTTGTGTGTAGATGGGGCCATGTACGATGTAAAATACAAAGGAAAAAAGCAAAAACCATGGTGCATAATCTACAGCAAGACCTACATAATGGTGATCTTAAATTTGGGGATATTTAGGTGAGTTCATGGATTTAATCTGAATATAGTAATTTCCATGTTGACTAAAGTAAAAGGATTATGTCATTGTATAAATAAAGACATTCATTGCATACTTCCTACATGTCCAAAATTGTCATTTAATCCGTGAATATCATTGTATTCATATAATTTATTGATATCAACTTTGTACAAGTAAGTGTATGATCTATAACTGAAGTATTCTCAGCTGTTATTTAAAGGTAAAACAGCATTTTATTTTTGTTGATCAGGCAATCCCACCTGTGTATCCAAACCATTTAGCTGAGCCTGCTGACATAACCAGTAAGATGCTGAGTAACCCCTCATACCAGACATGCATTAACACATCAGACCATCTAACCCTTCATACCACCCAACCTGTAAGACCTGCCAACAGTTCCGATGCAGCAGACCATGGCCAGCTGACTTGTGTCTGGACATATGCTCGTGTGGCTACGGAGATTTGCGCCAGTTGTTGAACATGTTTCTAGAAAGCTGCTAGTTGTTCCGGAAATGTTGTTAAGGAGTCCGCTCATACTACATCAGGCTTCACGTGAAGAGGATGTGAATATGTTTATGGAGTCTATTGAGTCTACCAGACATATTTCAGACAGGAAATTGGCCCAGATCCGCCAAGCGTCGCTAGAGGATCCGCATCTGCAGAAAGCACTCAGTCTCACATTGGCAGGGTCACCCGATCGTGAAATCAACTTAGACGAATTAGATGGTGTCGAATGATTTATTACTGCTACACTGACAAATGATCGTGATACCTGTCGCCATACCCTCACGGTCTTGTGTATGGAAATACTGAGCAACAGAAAACTCAACAATTAAAATGAAAATTCACAGCATTTAAATAATTTAACAAATAAAGTTTAAGTACCTTCACAACAACTGCCTTGGTGAACCGGGAAAATACAACCGTTATTACAATAGGTTACCGGTATTAAGATACAAAAACAATACAGCTAGTATGCATAATTGCTGTTCGTTACAGCACACAAGGTCTGTATAAATGCTAAATTTGGGTTAATTATAAAGTGTTGTGATACTATCTTTTGTTAGAATATTTGTTCAATATTTTGCTCAAAAAGGGGGAGATGTGCTAGTATTCAAGGTAGTGTGTAAATCTAGGTTTGATTGATGCTATGAAGTACGTGCTTGTGTTGAGTATTATGTAATAACCGGATGTAATGAAAAACGTGATCATTTAATTAAATGGATTCAAAACTCCTGTGTTATGATTTGTAGAATATCACAACATGTTTGCTTTGAAACTGAATTTCCTTAAAGTGGTTGTGGCTGTATATAACACTAGGGTAGCTTACCCGGTGTCAGTATAATGTGACATGATATAGATCGTGCTGCTACCGTGTCCAGGTTGTGATGTTGGCATGGTATGGCACTTAGAGTGGTCATTGAGCGGCCTAAACAGCCGCTGATACCATCATTAGATGTCTATATTTGTTGCGAGGATCAAAACCAAAGTGGAAAGTCGCTGTGTGCATTACGATATCTACCGTCCTCTGTCATTTTTTTGAACTGAATGTAGTAGCTAGCTGCTATTAAAATCACTTAGTAAAGGTTTGAGACAAAATCTGGAATATGTTGCGTAGGTGGTGCTGTAATCGCGTGAAGAAGAGAATGTGGCAACGAAATGTCAGTTCATGTGTATTTTAACCCATTTTATCAAAATATAAAAAAAAAGTTTCTTAAAGATTCCATTCGTGGACCTGTCATCTTCCAACTGGTCCATTTTCAGGAATAGTTACATTCTCAGATGTATTGACAATGGGTTGTCTTAACAATTAACAACAAATTCCTTGATATGATCAACAAAAAAACTCCATGCACTTTAACGCCATCATAAGTTCTACTGCATTATTGGCTACTAAACGCAATCTTCACTTATAATATGACTACCTGGAACAGCTTACAAGAGAGCTGCAATCTTAGCAAGACGATTCCGTTTTCCTAATTTACATAATCCATTTTTTTTTATAGTAATATTCATCTTTCCCCCATATATATTTTTAATATGTTGCAGTTGATTCGTTAAATACCAAAGATTAAGTGAAAGCTGTCGAAGACTAACAGACAAACCACAGGGGCACGCAACTACTATTACTATTGATCTTGTTTTAGGCTTTGAGTCGCTGGGTACGTTATACCCCAATTGAATATAACGTACCGAGCGACTGAAAGCCTAAAACAAGGTCAATATTAATAGTAGTTGAGTGCTCACCTCTTAGAGGTTCATTGGGGGGGACTGTTCATTTGCTATGTTAGAAGAATCAATGTTTATCGATATATTAAAAACTGGTTTAAATTGTTCTAACAGCAAAGATGGTTGCATGATTAAAAAAAGAAAACTTATGTATGCGAAGGTCTGTTGCGATACTCATGTCTGTAATCAAATACATGTATCTCTTTTTGTAACACCATCGTTGTTGTATCATGATGTCATCAATTTCTGTGTTGTGCTGTCAACATAAATAAGCAGTTCCCCCTTTGTTTTATTTTATATTTAAACATCACAAGGACTTTAGATGGTTTTTTTCCCGATTATTTATATTGTATATGCATATAATTATGTTCATTGTAGTTGGTCCCGGTACTGTTACCCTGTCCCCACCGGACACTACCTACACCAGGACTGAGGGGGACACGTTACCAGACATCACCTGTACAGCTGACTGTAGACCTGGCTGTACCTTTGTCTGGACAAAACCTGACAACACCAACTTTACTGCCTCCGCTTTGTTGTCACTGGGACAACTGAACAGGTCAGAACGAGGGACGTACAGATGTTCTGCTAGGAATGTTGTCGGGGAGTCAACTACAACTGTAACTGTGTCTGTGATGTGTAAGTTATATCACCATCTAACACTGTCAGGCTTGTTTTAGTCAATCAAAATGCTAAGAAGTATTTTATTCGAATAAAGCTTTTGATTTTTAGCTTACCTGGTCCGAAGGACTATGGTGAGCTTATGCCATACCACAGCGTCCATTGTCCATCCGTCCGTCAACTTTTCCTTTAAAACACTTCTTGTCCTGAACGGCTTTGTGAATTTTAACTAAATTTAGTCTGGTGCATTCTTGGGCCAAGGGCTCTCAATTTCCTATAAACGGTGGGTGTGCCCCCCCCCCTGGAGGAAGAGATGAGGGACCCAATATGGGAAATAGAAGTTAAACCTTTAAAATCTTTCTTCTACCATAGGGATTAAGGGATTTTATCCTAATTTAGTCTGGAGCATCCTTGGGCCAAGGAAACTCAATTTTGTATAAACAGTGGGTATGGCCGCCCTGGGGGCAGACGGGGGGGGGGGGGCAAATATGGAAAATAGAGGTAAAACCTGCAAAATCCTTCTTCTACGGAAGGGATTAAATAGGGATTTTATTCTAATTTAGTCTGAAACATTCTTAGGCCAAGGGGACTCAATTATGTATTACCAGTGGATGTGACCCCCTTGGGGGCAGAGGAGTGGGGCCCAATATGGGAAATAAAGGTAAAACTATAAAATATTTTTTCTACCATAGGTATTAAGGGATTTCATCCCAATTAGGTCTGGAGCATGGGGAATGGAGGTAAAATCTTTAAAATCCTTCTTCTAGCGTAGGGATTAAGGAATGTTATCCTAATTGAGACTGAAACATCCTTAGGCAAAGGGCACTCACTTTCGTATTACCAGTGGATGTGACCCCCTGGGGGCAGAGGAGAGGGGCCTTATAGGGGAAATAGAAGTGAAAGTTTAAAATCCTTCTTCTAGCGTGAGGATAACAAGTTTTTATCCTAATGTTCTAATTCACTATGTTTAACCGAACATAAAACATTTATCATATAAAACTCAACAACTGTTTATATATGTGGGAGTGGCTTTCTACGGTCCAATACTTTAATAACTATTTCAATTTTGTATAAACGGTGGGTGTGGACCCAGTAGGGGCAGAGGAGAGGGGCCCAATAGGGAAAACAGAGGTTAAACCTTTAAAACCCTTCTTCTAGAGTAGGGATGAAGGGATTTTATTCTAATTTAGTTTGAAGCCTTCTTAGGCCTAGGGAACTCAAATTTGATTAACAGTGGGTGTGTCTCCCCCCTCCCCCCCCTTCAATTTTGTTTAAACGGTAGGTGGCCCCAAGGGCAGAGGGGTGGGGCAACAAAACAAGGCTTTTGAAAGCCATGCTGAAATCTTTGCCTGACGGAAATCAAGGATTTGACTGGCAGCGAAAGGATAAACTTAACATATCACGAAAAATTCTGCATTTAGTATAACGTAATAATGTTTCCAATGATATACTTGAGCGTCAGATAAACATTCACATCCTCCCCAGGGTAGGTATTTTTGAAGAACGTTGAAATATTTTAAACGCTTTATTAATGTTAAATAACCTTGAAATATTGTAAAAATATTGAATATTATTGTAACATTACATTAAAGTTGGAATTTTTCAAACGTGGTTTATAACGTTGAATTAGCATTGATATGATATGAACACTTAACTGACTGGCGTTGTTGCTACGTTTTTGTTATTGTTGAAAATTTGATGTCATGAAATGAATGTACGTTTGAAAAAAAAATGCTGCAAGAACTACACAGTAAGAAGTATAAATAAGAAATAATGTTCTTATGCATTTTCAAAATAATATATATTGCTACAGAATAGTTCAAATAGTTCAGTTTAAGTTTTCAGATGTCTAGAAGCAATAGAGTTTGTTTGATTCAGATTTACAGCAAAATATGTATGAGGTAGAAAGATTAATTTGTATGTATAAAAATTACCATGAAAAATGATATTTAACATTATTCCACAAAAAAAAGAATAAACAGGACAACAAAATCAAATTTCTAGTACGGTATATGTTTATTGATTATTTATTAATTCAGACGGTCCTTCCAGTGTGGGGTTGTCACCACCAACTACATCCTACACTCCTATAGAGGGACAGACTCTCCCTACCGTCACGTGTTCGTCTGACTGTAACCCAATCTGTACCTACAGCTGGACAAAGGATAGACAGCCCCACACAACAGGGTCAGATCTCCAGCTCACCAACATAACACCTGGTCAGACGGGCGTGTACAGGTGTACGGCAAGTAACAGATACGGGAGTCAGACATCTAGTGACGTCACTGTTACTGTCAAATGTATGTATATACACAGATGTGAGTTGTCTTGATGTGTTTTGTCTGCTGGATAACCGAACTACGCAGTAGTGAAGCGGACGTAAAACACTCAAACAAACAAACAAACAAACAAACGTGCTGAAACTATTGTGTAAATGACTTCACAATGAAGACAATAGGTAAACATGAATGCTATAGAGGGTGTTTCCCCATTTAATCTCTATGTCATGTAACAAATTACATTTTTTTTAAAGTTCCATATTTTGTATCAACCGCGAACGTAGGTCAGCGAATACATTTAAACGATAAATTCAATAGATGTATACTTGCACACAGATGGTACAGAAGCTTATGGTGTCATCACTCACTGGAAGACGTCGTCCTGGTTAGATGAACAATCTGTTTGCAATGATTACAACGAACAAACAAATTCAGATGTAAATTAGTTTTGTTTGATTCAATTAATTTTTTGTTCGACAACCCCCCCCCTCCCAACAAAAAACCCACACCCAACAACAACCCAATCTATTGATATAACTAATTCCCGCAGCATAACAGAACAATCAGGTTGATAACATGCTGATGTTTTCATACGCCAACTGGAAAGTTCATTGGAATATAACCTTTAAAATGTTAGGTAGGTATATTGAGTCCGAGCTCAGTAGAAAAGTAACTATTCATAAATGTCTGATGGCACACTTGAATTATATTGTATGCATTTGGTCATCACATGGACAAAACGATAAATTTCACCAAAAGTCACACATTATGTTTAATTGGTATGTTCAACCGATCATAACAAAATACTGAGCAAACGGACATACTATTTTCTCTTATTCTCCTTTTTTTCAAAATCCATATAAGAAAGAACGTTAATACCAGAAATGTCTGGCTTCTCAGAGGTGTACATCATTAACACATAGTTTACATCTTTACACTATTTATCCTAACACATACTCAATTTCTATCTAACTAGTCAGCCACAATTAAAAAATAGCTGTGTTGAAATCCAAAGCGATCTGTTCTCTACAACTAGTGGGAGCACAAACGTCATTTTCGGCAACGGTATTTTTGTAAGGCTTGTGCCCACTTGTTCCTAATAAAAGACAGAAACATATTGTATTTACGCATATTCGACTGGAGTTATTATGCATCACCTAATACCCTGCACAAAGTAGACAACTATTATTTAAGTTTTATAACAAAGAACATAGAATGTTAATGAGAAACGATCATTTGACCAGGACTGACAAAACTTCGTTGGTGAACATTACAGCCCCATACAGGCCGGGAGTTCTAGTTTAAATATTTGGACAGCCTAGGTTTTTTTCTCCACAATTACTCTTTAATTCAGACTGTGTATTTTGCATAGGTGGTAACAATATAGATATAATGACCACGACATGGTGTAAAATATTTTAATCTACAGTTTTCTTAACGCACATGAAGAAAACAAAACAATAGGAAAATAAATTTGATAGCCATTATAGTGTTTGAATTTAATTAGGACATACTGCAGGATTGGTATTTACAGCAATACAAGGTCCGTGTTGACAGACCTCTAGCTACGGTATATATTCATTAAAACATTGGCAACTTCGGAACTACACGCTACGTCATATTACATATAAACTTGTTCAACGATCCCCATTTAAATTATTTTACAAATAAAAAATGGGACTAATTTGAAATCAGTAACATCGCTACTGACGATTACATGTATCTGGGAATTTGTTACAGTTGGTATGCTATATGCTAGTTCAGAACAATATGAGACGTTTAGTAAAAATTCTTCCCTAAATGATGGTATAAAGAAGAAGAGTACGTGGACTGAAAGCAATTGGTGTTGATTTATTGACCTCTTAACTTCATAACAAGAAGTAAAAGAAGAAATCTTTGCCCACTTTTTTGAACTTTTTTTCCGCTACGACCTTTGGTTTTGATATAATATCAAAGCACTGAAGATCCTGAATCAGTTCTGTCATCTGATATTAAAACAGTTTGCATGGCGATCAGCAACCTTGTTTTTACTAATTGATTGGAATATGCTAAAAAACCAGTTTATTTTTATGTACTTAGAATGTGACTGTAGCGCCACATTTTTAGTACATTTCCTTTGAAAATTCATCAATATAAATTTCAATCGTTTGGTTTATTTCAGAAATACATTTTAAATGTGTTCTACAGTACGCATATGCGATGTATGGCATGTGTTTATCGCATGAAAACCCACAATAACTGCATGATGCACTTTTGTTAATCGCAGCAATAGTTCATATTTTATAATGAACTATATAACCAATCTATTTTTGCTGCAGACAAAACGCATGACCCGACGCAGGTGTATTCACAGCAAGATCATATATATATATACATAAGGAATAAACGACAAAGAAATATTTGGGCATGGGCAACAGACACAACATATAGAGTGTGTATAGTGTTGGCCGGGAAATAAACAAAGCCTTATTCAGTCTTTTTCATTATACCGATGAAACAACATATTAATGAATATGGAATTTCAAATATTCCCTCTGTGGCTACGAGACGATGTGAAGTTAATGTTTTTTTGCACAAGCATGATAGCCTGTCATTCATATAATTAGTATAATTAATTCATATAATAACACTTTGATTTAAACCTGTGACCTTGGATGGAGACCCTGTATTCAAAATTATAAAAAAAATGATAAACCTGCATTCTAGCTACACATTATTTACATATAATGACCCTATAACTTATTGTTCTTCAGACAAAGTTATTTTTAAGATTTTAGTTTCATGTAGCTAAAAATAAGAGGCATGTCTCAGATAAACTTGGATAGTAGATTCATCCTGCACAACACCTACATAAACATACATATTTTGAATATATTTATTTTAGAAGATTTTTTTTTTCTTTCAAAAAGTGTTTTTCCCAGATTTGGGACTTGTGCAAACCATGGTTACCACATCAAAAAACACCAAAATATGCAACAAAAAAAAAGATTTTTAACCCAAAATTTGACCCAGGCAAGTAGTATTTTTTTTAAAACCTATATTAAATTAAATATCACAGCTATCTATGACAGCATCAAGGCTCACTGATATCAAAATGGACACTAGGAAACCCATCACAACAACAAACTAGCAACAGACACACTTCCCGTAACCGATTAACAGCACCAACATGTCAGATATTCTGAAACATCAGACTAGTGCCACCATACCAACCGTTATTTACTTTCCTCGCCTAGAATTGACAGTGACCCTCAAAAATTGTTCATTTAACATTTTTCGCTAGAAAAAAAATGATTTTCTTCAGCTGTAATTATGAAAAATCAGTTTATTGACATTATTGACTTTGCTAATTTAATATGTATGTTGAATCAAGTGGAAAAAAACATATAACATAGTGTAATTAGAATGAAAACAGATATTTTACCCATTTTAAATAAATACAACTTTATGTATTAGTAACCATACGTTCCGGGTGCTGAACTGAGTGAATCAGAATGAAATCTAGTCTGAATGCATCAGGAGATAGCCTGTGAATTATTTGTTGTTTGGTATCAACTTTACCAATTACACAATTGATACATATGTGATGAATTGTGAAGTGCCTGTGAAAAGGGTGAGTTACCCCCTTTATACATCCCACAGGTAACATACTATTGACCTTCATTGTATATATTGACCTATATCTGTTACTTTTTAAACATTTTTGTGTAGTTTTAAGCAAAAATGAATGAAAGTGAAGCTGAATCAAGCATAAAAAGGCATTTTTTTTCAGAAAAAATAAATTTCTATGTGTATAAGGTAGCAGAGTACAGTAGAAATGGCCTGATCCTAAATATAAAGGGCATGTCTCAGATAAACTTGGATAGTAGATTCATCCTGCACAACACACCTACATACATATATAAAGAAGAATGATTTTTTTTTTCAAAAAGTGTTTTCCCCAGATTTGGGACTTGTGAGAACTATGGTTACCACATAAAAAATAAAAAAAATGCAAAAAACAGGATTTTTAACCCAAAATTTGACCCATGCAAGTAGTTATTTTTTTCTTTAAACCTGTCTTAAATTAAATATCACCTACTCGGTAACAGAAATACTCACGTTTTAGCATATATTTACACATGTGCCGAGTACAAAAATTGACTACATGAAAAGCTAGCTTTTGTTGTGTAGGCACAGATTTGTAAATGCCCAAAACTGTAGTCTCAAACCAAATTTTAATTTGTTTTTAGCTCACCTGGTCCGAAGGGCCAAGTGAGCTTATGGCAAGGTGCGACCAGTAACATGCTTGGATGAAGGGCTTCCAAGTTTGTTCAAATGAATGACCTTCATCAATTTTCAAGGTCACAGGGGTCAAATATGTTAAAATCTTTAGACAACTTCTTCTGAATAACCAAGAGTCCTAGGATGATGATATTTGGCCAGTAACATGCTTGGATAAAAGGCTTCCAAGTTTGTTCAAATGAATGATCTTGCCTTATATTCAAGGTCACAGGGGTCAAATATGTTAAAATCTTTTAAACAACTTCTTTTGAATAACCAAGAGGCCTCGGGTGATGAAATTTGGCAAGTAACATGCTGGGATGAAGGGCTACCAAGTTTGTTCAAATAAATGACCTTGACTTATATTCAAGGTCACAGAGGTCAAATATGTTAAAATCTTTTAAACAACTTCTTTTGAATAACCAAGAGGCCTCGGGTGATGAAATTTGGCAAGTAACATGCTGGGATGAAGGGCTACCAAGTTTGTTCAAATAAATGACCTTGACTTATATTCAAGGTCACAGAGGTCAAATATGTTAAAATCTTTTAAACAACTTCTTTTGAATAACCAAGAGGCCTCGGGTGATGAAATTTGGCAAGTAACATGCTGGGATGAAGGGCTACCAAGTTTGTTCAAATAAATGACCTTGACTTATATTCAAGGTCACAGAGGTCAAATATGTTAAAATCTTTTAAACAACTTCTTTTGAATAACCAAGAGGCCTCGGGTGATGAAATTTGGCAAGTAACATGCTGGGATGAAGGGCTACCAAGTTTGTTCAAATAAATGACCTTGACTTATATTCAAGGTCACAGAGGTCAAATATGTTAAAAACATTTAAACAACTTCTTTTGAATAACCAAGAGGCCTCGGGTGATGAAATTTGGCAAGTAACATGCTGGGATGAAGGGCTACCAAGTTTGTTCAAATAAATGACCTTGACTTATATTCAAGGTCACAGAGGTCAAATATGTTAAAAACATTTAAACAATTTCTTCTGAATAACCAAGATACCTAGGGTGATGATAGTTGGTCAGTAACATGCTGGGATGAAGGGCTACCAAGTTTGTTCAAATAAATGACCTTGACCCACTTTCAATGTCACAGGGGTCAAATATGTCTAAAATCTTTAAACAACTTTTTCTGAATTACCAATAGGCCTAGGGTGATGATATTTGGCTAGTAGCATGCTTGGATGAAGGGCTATAAAGTTTGTTCAAATGAATGACCTTCATCTTTTTTCAAGGTCACAGGGTCAAATATGTTCTAAACCTTTAAACAACTTCTTCGGAAGAACCAAGACACCTAGGATAATGCCAGTAACATGCTGGGATGAAGGACTTACCAAGTTCAAATAAATGACCTTGACATCTACATTTTAAGGTCACAGGGGTCAAATATGTTTAAAACCATTGAATGACTTTTTCTTAATAAGCAAAAGGCCAAGAGTGATGATATTTGGCCATTAACATGCTGGGATGAAGGACTACCAAGTGAATGACCTTCACCCATATTCAAGGTCACAGTGGTCAATATATGTTTAAATCTTTAAATGATTTGTTCTGTATAACCAAAAGGTCCAGGGTAATGATATTTTTCCAGAAGCATGCTGGGTTGGAAGACTATAAACTTTGTTCAACCTAATATTATAATGTCCTTGTTCGACATTCAAGGTCACAGGTGTCATATGTTTAAATCTTTTAATAGGTTCTTATGAATGAAACACTGATATTTTGCCTGTAGCTGTATTTTAGTCCACTTTTAAGATTACAAGTGTGAGATTAATACCAGGTGAGCGATGCAGGCCCATTGGGCCTCTTGTTTTAATGATACATGTAATATTACAGGGGTAATTCATTGTATTAAAATATCACCCATGACCACATTACGCTACTGTACACTGCTACTTTAACATATTTTACCTTTGTGACCTTGAAAGACGGTCAAGGTTATTTATTTCAATAGCTTTACTTGCCATTAATTCCATTTTCCTGCTGCTGAAAAAGAAATAACTTAAGATGTAATGGTTGTTTGAGACTCGTATAGACGTGACCGTACTAACCTTGTGTGATTGATTTTATCAACACGAAAACAAAAGTTGGAATGGATTCTGCAATGTCACTTCACAAATGTAAACACCAATAGTTCAACACCTATTTGGTTTAAGTTCAAAATGGCAGTAACGGACAATCAAAAAATGAATAATTGGCAGCAAGTCTTAGGTAGGGCAACCGTCTTCGATTTCAGATAGACTTGAGAAACAACACATGATTGGGAAATCATTTTAAATACCAGTAAAATGTTTGATTTTGATTGACTCAATGATTGACTCAATGAATAGTAAGTCGAATATATTCAATTTTTAAAGGTCTGTGTGAAAAAAGCCTAAGTAGATGTATTTGTTGGTTTGAGTCATCTTACTGTAAAACAAGTGTAAACGCACGTATATCGTAGCCTAATGGACGGCGATTGTAATTGTCAACTTGTGCATATTTTGCACATTTGGTTATATACATGTATGTTTCACTTGTCATTTGTCCAATAAAGGTGATAGCGTACATACTGTGCTAGTAACCAATATTTCACACATAAACACTTAATTGATTGTACGACGTGACCCTTCTAGAATCCATACAAATGTAGTTTACCATGCAACCTGAAGAAAACGTTCAGAAATAAAAGGATGCAAATTTCATGACCAAGCACTGAAGCAGCCATTTTTAGATCCAACTTAAGTAATTCCAAATGAGTCACATTCCTATTTTATACAAAATCGTATTATCATCTCTTATAATGTCCCATACTAAATTATGGTCGAAATAATATTAAAAATAATGTACAATACTCTTTCTATGATCGTGTGACGGTCATCGCTCCGGCTTTCAGTGCTTTGATATTTAGCAAAAAGGTAAGGGGGATACGGGGAAGAAGTTCTGAAAAGTAAAACACCTTTACAAAATTTTTATGCAAGAAAGATGGATAACTTAAGATATTTTTAGGTGTAATTTTTTTTATGACAAATAATGAGTAAAAACATAATTTGCAAGAAAATGACATCACGCTGAGGCAATTGCTATATTAGACCATCGGAAAGAGTATTACAAGTGCCATTTAACAACAGAAGAACATTTTGTTTTGTTTTGTGTATTTCTAAATATAATGCATGAAAGGTACATAGTGTCCTGGGTATCCTGAAAATCAATGTAGGGGGCGCAACAGTCACAAATTGGTACTGTAGCTGTGTAATTCATGCCAGTTAATTAATTTATGCTAAAATAATGCAACTGGTCATCGGCCGCCATGCAAGTCGGTATCTATGTGTTTACATTGTTAGCTATCTCTACATGTAGTTCAGACAATTTCTACGACGATTCCTTTTACGACTAAAACTTTTCTGATTGCTCTTAGACATTCTGTTTTAAATTGAACAGCTTTCGACGAATCCATATTTAAGAAAATGTGATTTTGATACTTTGAAAGTTTTTTGGTTCCCTGAATTACTCTTTATTGATTAAAATACATACATTTAAGCACACCTAGGTATTACACGGAGCATATGGCAACATTTGAGCCGGATTATTCCTAGAAAATGTACTAAATATGTAAAAAAAAAAAATTATGATGACGATCCACAAAATTCTGTTCGGAATTACCGTCCATGGTTGAGTAAAAGGTTACTTTCTGAACAACGAATAAGACAAATTTACTTTTAACTGAATTTTTTGATTTTTTGATTTTTTTTTAAATAATAGATACTTTTTTTTTTAATTCAAAGCATGAAAAGTTGTTTTTTAATCTTGAACTGTCCCCAAATCTCCACCCATAATCTTTTATAACTGCAGCTAATACTTAGGCATTATTCATCTATGTCATGTAAAAAGGTAAAATCCGTAACAAATTATCGGAAATGTTACTTTATGTACGAAAACATGTAGTAGAATTATTTTGTATTCTGCCTGAGGTGAAAAAACGCATCATTTAAATGGGTTGATGGGTAGTCAGTTATCTGCCTTACCCCTGCTGTATCTCCAATGAATAGAAAGTTCACATTAAAATTATAAGAATTTTAGATATGTTTGTATTACAGACGGTCCCAGTACTGCTACCCTGTCCCCACCGGACACTACCTACACCAGGACTGAGGGGGACACGTTACCGGACATCACCTGTACAGCTGACTGTAGACCTGACTGTACCTTTGTCTGGACAAAACCTGACAACACAAACTTAACTGCCTCAGCTGTGTTGTCACTGGGACAACTGGGCAGATCAGAACACGGGACATACAAATGTACTGCTGGTAATATCTACGGATCGTCAACTATATCAGCTGTAGTTAACGTACAGTGTAAGTTATTTTATACATAACTATTTTTTTTCCCAATCCCATGACATGTGCTATTTTATTTCTATTTTAAATTTTAACTCTATGGCATCACAGTTGTCTATAAACAAGCTGAATCAAACTGTTTTGGTATAAGAACAATTAAATCCCACACTGTATCCAGATGATATATATTGAAATGCTTCAAAGACACCTGACGATGGGGTGTTGTCTCAAAATGTTGTCACATATGATAGCACACATATGGGTCACCATCAATACTTATATACATTATATGCCTATATGAACAAAAAACATATCAAGAAAAGTATTCATCTATTTGTTAGTCAACATTCACCCTTTCAACCTCAACTCATCACATATTATGTTTTAATAGTATTTTTTGACGATAAAGACTGCCTTCTTATTCACAGTAAAAAGGATATATGGTTATACTTACACGACAAGTACAGAAATAACTTTCAAAAATATAATTGCATGATTATCATAAATAAATTATAATTATAAAAGTTTGTTTTCAAATCACGATGAGAACTAATTGATAAAATGTTAATTTGATTAGTTCATGTCTTGTTTAAAAATGTGTTAATACCAACGAAGCGAAGTTTCTCGAGACATTCATTCAAAATAATGTAGGGATGGCCAGCCCGAAATTATTTTTTTCGTTAGAAGTACTGTTGTATAAAAACAGCACTTGCAATTATCAACCCATTTTGTTCCAAATCACTGTAGGTGAAAATATAGAAAAAAACAATCAAGTGAAATATTTACAACTGTTGCAAAAATATGTCTGACACCAAATGTTACTGCACTTTCTTACATAACTAAGCTCTATACATATCAATCTACATTTTTGTAGTTGGTCCCGGTACTGTTACCCTGTCCCCACCAGACACTACCTACACCAAGACTGAGGGGGACGCGTTACCGGACATCACCTGTACAGCTGACTGTAGACCTGGCTGTACCTTTGTCTGGACAAGACCTGACAACACCAACTCTACTGCCTCACCTGTGTTGTCACTAGGACAACTGGACAGATCAGAACGCGGGACGTACAGGTGTACGGCTAGGAATGTTGTCAGAGAGTTGACCACAATTACAAGTGTAACCATATTATGTAAGTTCATCAGTGAAATTAATATATTTACTGCTGCTATTTTTACCTTATCTTAATTACTTGCTTTTATACATTTTTATGTTGCAATCTTGTTGCGAAAAAGTGACCAGAAATTTCTGTGACATAATTTATCTGGTACAATGCTGCTACCACACGCATTCTTCGGGTGTTCATGTCAACAAACGGCAAGAATATCAAAAGGATATCGAAAAAATTATAAAATATGTATCTGTTGCAATAGATAGCTAGATAAATATTAAGCGCAAGGTTTGACAAGGATTTGCAATGTTCTCTGCAACTGATAATGTAATATTCAAAATCACTGATGCGCATGTTTGCTGCCACCAATAAAATGACAGTAAGTCTACAATTCAGAACACAGATTAGAATACTGATTCACTCTTAGCGAACTTTTCGGCTTATCCATGGTGATTTTCCATATTTAATCGACAAGACAGATAAATGTGACAAATGCGTATGTGCAAGCGCATCAAGACGTCAAGGAAATGATTAGGAGCTAAGTTTGGAATCATATGTTTCAATTGAACAGAGCAAGGTATTTTTCGGTGCAGGGCCGCTGCGACCAAATTTTAGCCCACATAATAATGCGCAACGATTCACAATAATGCAATGGCAGAACACACATTCTGATAGACGCTTCTCAATGCAATATTGGACATGTTTCATATTATCGGATAAGTTTTCGCTTTAAAGCGCTGCGGGTGAAGCACTTTCAGGTATGTCCATCACAGTGTGTTAGACGCCTGTGTAATAAAAATAACTGTTTTGGAAATATGTTCATTCACAGTAAGCGGCATTATAGAGCTGTAAGTGTTTTGCACTCGGTATCCAGATCCTATCTGCAACTTTGGTATATTTCAAATCGAAGGCTCAACCGATTGGCTTCAGACATAACATAGCAATCATTAGGCTGAAACTTGTCATATGAAGATTGAACAGTTGTTACATCTAATGTACCGTAATGCTGCCGCAAGATTCATTTATCAAAGACACAGGTCCGATACATCGGTAACAGTTTTACAATGGTTGCGGAAACACAGCCTTTGTTAAGTCTGAACTGTTTAACGGTACTTAACCCTAGTTACCCGGTATACGAGAGTTCAACTGCTGCCAATAGTGCAACTTGTGTCTGACCTCTCAACAATGTCGTAACCAAGTCATTTACAATATATTGTCTAAACCTGTATACCTGGTTATTCAATAAAACTAAACGTTTGCTAATGACGAATGCATTAAGGAAAATATTCAAAATGTACCTATGAGCTTGTTTGAGATACAGTTGGAAAACTTGTGCATGACCTAAGAGTCATACATTAACACTATGTTTAAAACCGTTGATATTACCTTTTTGGCAATTTGAAGTGTTAAGGGTGTCTGATTAACAACATTATAGGTTTAAAACATGTAGAACTTTTGTACCTTTTTAAAAAACAACAGGTAAACTTTAGTTTTAACAGTCACCCGTTTGATAAAGATTTTGTATCACAGAGAAAACCACTGACAAAGTTATTGTA